TCGGTTGCAATCACTGTGCATGGCTTTTTCCCCTCCTGGTTTTCCCCCCCCCCATGTCCTGGCCCAGCATGAAGGACCCAACCGGACAGCTCTTGGAATTCAACCTGTCAGCTGCTGACAACTTCGGAGGGAATCTTGGCATGTGCGTCATGCGTGCAATATGTTGCACATGCTCACTTCTAGTACTTGGTACTTACTTTGCAGGGGTGTGAATCTCAGGCCCTTGGGTGGTACTACTACCAACGTGCCAGGGAAGAAGGGTAAGACTTTGCCCGCTCTGCAAAGGAATGAACCTGAGAGACGCCTAGCAGAAATTCATGGCCACTACAACGTATAGAGCAATCACCCAGTAACAGACCCTAAAAGACACATTTTTGGAGCGGCCTTTCCTTGGGAGCTTCCACACCGACCAGCCCTAACTGGCCCCCATGCACTGCCTGTGCAGTGTCAAGGCCAATTGTCCACATTCATCGAGATCCTCGGTCATCGTATTGATTCAGCTGACGAGCAAAAGGCCAGCTGGTCATTTATGCCTTCCAAACTTTGCAAACATCATATGTGAACATGCGTATGTTAATTTTTTCTCATAGGAGCGTATCTCAAAGACCATCAACTCTGATCGAGCAAAGGGGAACCTGGGGCTGCAAAAAACAGCATGAGCTAACAGACCCTAAAAAGGCAATTTTTTGGGGGTGGCCTTTTTGAGCCCTAAGAGCTTCCAAAACCACTAAAGAAGGACACCTCCAAAAAGTGCCTTTTAGGGTCTATTGGCCTATCTTGGTAGGCCTGCAAATGAACGAATTCTACTGCCACCACTTTCTTTCGATCCACCTCACCAACTTAGCCGAGGATTGCAACAGAATTGGAGCAGAGCAAAAATAAGGTGAACACGGTCTACCAAGAGTTGCTCTCGAAGCAATCCGATCTTGTTGGTGAAGATGCGCTGTCACAGTCATGCACTTATGCGCATGCGTCTGCGTGCATGCATGTAGGTCTGGCTATCATGATCAGAACCAGAACTGAACTGTTTCTCACACATCCCAATCTAGTGATCTATAGATCCAAGTCTACCCACCCAAGGCAACAAAAGGAGGACCTTGTGGCAATCTTTGTTCGGGCTATGCAAGCTGACCTGGCTATGCAGAACACATTGAGCCGGGCCAGGCCTGGCACGAATCGCATCCCAAACAGTTCCGTTTATAAACCCCCATATTTTTTGGAATCAAGTCTTTCCCACTGTTGCCATCGGCAGGAATTGCAAAACGCCGAAGCCTAAGGCTCCGGCTGCTCCTCGTAAGCGCCAAATCACTGGCGATGACAATGCGGCTGGTGCACCTGCTAAGAAACGCAAGAGGTCCAAGGTGAATTCGGCCATCAATGCTGAATCAACTGGATCTAAGAAAAGCAAGGCCAAAAAGCCTAAGAAGGCATAGGCCCCTTTCGAGTAGCAAATCGCTGAGCATCAAGCTACAGTTTCGGTTCCATTCTATTGAGAAACCCTTCAAACAACTTTAACCTATAGTGATCTTTTGATGCTCACTGCAATTTTGGCGATCAAAGCTGAGTGTGTTAAACACTGGCTGACAGCTGGGGGTTGAAAAGGCTATCCCTGGCTTTTGGAGCTCAGAACTCTTGAAAGCGCTGACCAACTATGGCCTATGTCAGAATGTTTCAGGTTCATTGCAACATTTCCCATAGTGCCATAGAGGTCAAAGAAGGACAAGCAAGTTATGGTTCGCTGTTGTATGCCAGGTCACTACGTGGAATCATGTGGTGATGAAAGCCACTTGACTTGAAAGACCAATCTGTGGTACCTATCTTTTGGTCGGCAGCTTCTCCCTTGCCATGGCCCAGGTCATGACGATTCTGAAGAGTGCGACCAAATTGCTGAAGAGATTTTGGAAGAGTACTTCACTGGTGCTTTTTGGCTGAATTTAGAGCCTAGGGGGAAGCGCTGCTGTGTGCAGCATTGTGCGCGTCATGTTGCCACTGGCACAGGCTCAAACCGCTACTCGCTCTACAAAATCTGCTCAAAGGATCTGCAGGGTCAGACGCAACAGACCCTAGGCTTGAAAGGGGAAGAGGTCAGCATGTATATAGATCGATTGAACAACATGTTTTCGGGAATGTGAGGAAAGAGTGATGATCTGCTCTGGAAGATGGCCAAGTGCTCCGGCCCCAAGGGTGGCCGCAACGCATGCCGGTCCCTATCCCGCCTCATTAGACGTGAAGGCTTGAGCCTTCCGATTGAGCTCAGCTTTGTCGAGTTGACCTGTCGTCGCAAGAAGCCAAAGATTGTGGACACCAATCTTCAATGGCCAGTTTTGTCAATGCGAAGCTGGGCAAGCTACCTTCTCAACAATCACCCTGAGATCCTTTTGGGGGGTCATACCTGGGAACAAGATTGGAAGTCAATGTTTGCATCATTTTGGCACCGCTATCGAGATATGGAACCTCATATGGTTTTCTCCAGCGGCAAGCCGCTAACACATTGTATTCCGATCTACACTCACGGAGACGAAGGGCAAACTTTACGTAAGACGGCTTTCATGGTCCAGTCGTGGCAGCCAGTGATCGGCTGGCAGGGTGTGAATGTCACAACTACGTCCGGGCCACTTGGTTCTGCGAAGGTGCACTGCACTAGTTAGTTTTAGTTTTCTATGTATATAGATTTATCTTTCATATATATATTATATGATATCTCTTTCTTGATTCATCGCCCATGCAAACCATGTAAGGTCCAGCTTCTGCTCGCGGTTTCTCTACACCTGCATCTCAAGCTGGTGCTTTGCTGGGGGTGTGACCCTGAACCAACTGAATCGAGCCTGGGTTGATGAGATGATGGACTTGTATGAATCTGGCATTCAGGCAGGGTTTGCTCCAAAGACCCAAAAGAAACAACCTGCGACCAGGGTAGCTATTATATAATTGGAAATGTAGGGCAAGGTAGGGCCCACTTTAAAGTGGAACAATCTCCTCGCCACCAATGACCTGCAGCGTGCCTGCATGCAGGTCGGATCCGAGACGCTGTACCTGATATGGCTTGGCGCTAAAGGTGATTGGAAGTACCATCGTTCCGTTCCGCAGCAAATCACCATCTGTATTTTTTGTACTTTAATGATGCACCACTTGGGTCTTCACGTATATGTTGATGGCCCAACCCGAAAAATCAGTGCGAGGCTTACAACCTCAAAACTGGTTGGAAGTCCAAGAGAATTTGCCACATGTGCAGCAGCAGGGTCACTGGGCGTTGAAGGTCAGGAAGTTTTTTCTTGAGACCTCAGTAGGTTGCATGTTGAAGCTATTGGGTTCAGGCTTCAGGGAGGTTGTATGCATGAGTTTTGATCATGCCTTAATTGTTGAGGAGTGGTGGAACTTCAAAAGGAATGCAGTTTGGCGAAGCGAGCGGCCATGGCATCACCCGTTCAAAAGCTGGGACTGCCCTTTCTTAGACCTACCCCATGGGTCTGACCCCGGAAGGATTTTGATTGACATAGCCCACACATTTCACATCCATGGCGTTGGCGTGGACTTTGCCGCATCGTCAGTGGTGCTGTGTTGTCGCAAGGGGTTGTTTGGAGCAGGAACCTTGGACTCCTGTATTTGCAGGGCCTATTACTCTTTCATGGAGTATTGTGTGGCTTTCAAAAAGACAACAGCTTGCAAACAGTGGATGACACATAAAGACCTTGACATGGCCAACAACAATGACTATCCCACATCGATTAAAGGGAAGGGCTTTGATACAGCTTTGGTTTGCTCCTGGATATCTTGGAGGGCAAGGAGGGAGAAGCAAGGTTTTTGCTCATTTTGTTCCATGAGTGGTTCTGTTAACCTTAGACCCCCAGACTCCATGCCTTAAGGGGCGACACTCATTTTGTTCAAACCGCAAGACTTGATGCCTTAAGGGGCAACACCCTGTAGGATGTGGATTACGATCCGGACCTCCAAACGCTCAAGTTTACGGCTGAGCAAATCAATTCCTTTTTTAGGATTCTACATGGCTCAGGGATATGGATTGAGGATGATGCCCGCCGACGTGCTATCCAATGTGGGGATTTGTTTACGGAGGGATTTGCAAATTTGGCATCCCGCATGGCCAGCCAAAAGCTCTTTCTCTTCCGTGTACGACCGAAGCTGCACATGTTTTCAGAACTGGTCCTATCGTTGGCCCGTGGAAACACAGGGACCATCAATCCTTTGTCCGCATGCTGCTGGAACGATGAAGATTTTATAGGAGTTGTGAGCCAAACTAGCAGAACGTGCCACCGAGGAATGACAGGTTTGGCTCTGTCTTTCAGCACCCTGCAAAAGTGCTTGGGTAGATACAGGATTCAGTTTTCCAAACTGAACTGAGCGCGCACAAAAAGGCCCCCGAGGGCCAGACGTTCCATCTGCGGCCCAATGGCCATCTTGATGTGCACATCAGCAGGTGTGGGTGGGGTGATGGGTTGCACCATGTCCCCACGATCTCTTTTTCAGTGGACTGTCTGTTTTTCAGGAACCCGTGTTATGAGGCTTCACAAACGCCTTGATTTAACTGGAAACGCCTGATCGTTCAAAACGACCAGAATAAAACAGGCAACGGAAGATTCAGGTATATATGTTAAATCACTCTAACCTGCAGTGTGCTGTTCTTCAAGCCTCCCGGCAGGATCGATTCTCTTTCCTTACGCCTTACTCATTTTACTCATCCTTACTCCCAGCCCGCTGTGTGAAGAAAGATGGACACTCCGGACAGTTTTGTTTTTTGACAAAAGACATGTACCAGACCCACTGGTGGTGGTGGTGAATGGACAACTCCTTAACCTTGAAGGGGTGGTGAATGTAGAATTCACCACCCCTGGTCTCTTCTTAACCTCCTTGACCAGGGGGTGGTGAATTGAGACTTTTATATCAAGACCCACGCTAACACGAAGCCTTCGTGGTTTGAACTCGGACCGTGAGAAGCAGCCGGACCGGACGCTTTTTGGGGTACTCCGAAGCCGGGAACGCCGCAGGATGCATGGCATTGACGAGCAGCAGGTCAGAGCTGACTGCACCGATCGTCTCCAAGGCACCGATCCTTCCTTCGACGTCGGTCCAAGGCCGTATGTTCCGGTGCAACATCTGGGAGAATCTGGAGGATTAGATTAGGACGTCAACCTACCAGCCCCCAACGGAGCTTGACTGGGTTTTGACCACTGCCACGTTGTCAAAAGTCGGAGAAACCTTACATGAGACATGGGAACAAGCGATGTCAAGCATATTGCGAAAAGGCCCTCTATGTAGACGGACTGCTTTGCATTGCTTATTTGCTGGCCATTGTGGTCATATACTACTAGTATATTTATATAATTATGGGAAATCATGGAAATATTGTTGTAAATAAGTTCTCTCACTGAGGACGGCCCATGATATACATTCCCATGCAGTTCCGACCACTGTTTTTTTCTCATCTGCAATAAAGGATTCATTGGATGGCTAACCAGGTGTGAAAAGCACTGTTCTAAAGTTATTTGGGTGGCGCCAGTCGAATGCATCTACGAATCAGCCGACCAGATGAGGTTGGGATTCAGCTTTCTGGTTTCGTCGTTTTCTGGATGGACATGTGTTGCAAAACAACAGGTTTGGAGACGGCCCGGATGGCACCAGGATACCGACCGGATTGACCTACCAACGATGGTCCGGCTACATGGTGTTGAGGCTTCCCCACTGATTCTCCCAAGCCCGTTCCCTTGGCTGTGGTTTCGCTAGATATTAAGTGGGGACAGTGGCAATCTCGTTATTCCATTCGTGCGCATCACTAACTAGATGACTTTGCATTTGGCTACCTCCAGAATTTGACCTATCCCCAAACCATAGCAGTGTTTTAATGTTCTATTTCCTTTTCCCTGAGTTGACCCGAAGTGTCTCCGCGATCAACGGCGCCAAAGGTCCTCACATCATACTCTGCATATATCTTTTCATGCCTTGAGCATCCTTCCACCCGCCAATTCTTTTCGGGGTACGGTCTATAGAACCCTTTACAGGGGGGGTACCTTTGTTTTGACCCTCACGGATTCGGGCGGGACACTGAAAAAGAACCCATTCGAACCATGCGCCTCACGTCTTCCTCCATCTGTTTCTCGCCCTCGTCGACTCGTCGACGTTTTGGACAGCACAGCCCACGACGAGGTGCCGTACTGCGGTTTCGTGGTGCTGGAGCGATGCTTGGATGCACTGGACTGGTTTGGGCGATTTCGTACGGCAGGCGCGTGAACTGGTGCGTGGACTGGTCAGGTAAACCAGGTCTCCCATGGTCTTGGTTTGGAACCCGTCATGTGGAGCTGATGTGGAACTCTCTACGCAAGCGGAATCCTTTTCCCAGATGGCACTTCCCCGAAATAGATCGTGGCACGGCGTCCAATACATTTTACTATTTTCTATCTACAGTGGTTTCAGAGTAGATGGCACAACCCCTACATGTCTTTTAGATGGGGGGTTTATATAAAGCACCTTTTGTGGATTGTGCCATCTACTCTGGACCCACTGTATTATTTTGCGGATTTGAAGTCTATTTTACAAGTTTACCGGAACGAGGACTCTTCCAATCCTCAGGACCTGGCCGTGTCCCCGAACTGGAAAAGGATCCTGATCCTGATCGGACTGCTTCATCAGAAAGCAGATCAGGTCGATGTTCGTGCTCGGTGGATCAAAATACCTCTTCCCCGGCCAATTCCGTCCAGTTCGGTTCTTGCGGGTGCCGCACTCGTCATGGGCCGATGGGGCCGGACGCGACCGGGACGCAAACGGATGGCCGAGCTGGGCCGAGCACATGAGAGCACTGAGCACGGCGAGCACGGAGGTCTACATGGCGCCATTTTCGGACAAAAGGCCTGGGTTGGCCCATTTTAGACTGGTAGATTGACCATGTCTGGTCGATTTTCGTAATATTTGTCTATTTTTCGAAGGTCGTGTACTGGGTCCCAGTTTGGATCCACAGACGGGTCCCGCCGTTTTCTCCCAGTTTTAGGCTGTAGGCCATGCTGTCAACCCATTTAGTTGTTTGTGACACCGGATGTTTGAGCCACACATGCCCTATAACATGCACCTATAACATGCACCTGTCCTGAACGTGTTGGACTGAGCTGGTCCGTCTCATCCGAACATCGGCACCGCAGACGGTGAGGTGTCCTCGCTCCAACAGCAGCCCATTTTCTTCCCAAAACCAAACATATCCCAAGAATGGATTCCCATCGATGTGCGAACAAGATCGATCTCAGGTCCCTTCCAAGCGGATGAGCCTCCCAAGAGCCTTTTGGATGTGAACGCTGGATGGAACGTCTACAATGGTCACATCGAGGCACAACACTTCAAAAAGGACAGGAACGACCTTTTTTGACCGTCAAGGACAGGAACTTCTTGGAAAGAACCCGTTAAGGCTTCTTTGTTCTTAGAAGTACGAACGTGATGAGAAGTACAGTACGAACGCTATGGAGTCTGCGCTCGGAACATGAACGACTCATGCGAGTTTCTGCTTGCTTGCCTTTCGTATCCCGCGTGTGTGCGTGTGTGTGTGTGTGTGTGTGTCCACCCCTGGACAAAGGGTTTTCCACCGCCACTTCCTT